ATATTGAACCAAATATTTTATTGACATGGAACATCCCTAAAACATTTTTAAATCAAAATTGCATTAATAAAGAAATTTCTATAAGCGGAAGTAACCTTATCAAAATCCTTAATTGTTCGGTTCAATTGAATGAATTTATCCTTTCAAATACAATGGCAGATTACACCCAAACAGTTTATGTCAGTAATAATGTAACAAAACTAGAACCGCTAGCATATATCCAAACAAAAGAAATTATAAAAACACACACAAAATATTATAATGTATTCCAAATAATAACAACAACTACTTTTATAATTACAATTATAAGTTTATCTTTGTATCTATTCTATAAGTTCAAAAGTTTACCGAAGAAACTAATTGTAAAATATGTAAAACCAAAGGAAGAAACACCAAAGATTCCAGAAATTGTAAACGATCAACCTAATATGAACATAGGAGAGCATCTCATGTTATACCCAAATCTATCGACCTGAGGACAGGCCAAATTCAAAGGTTGGGGGAGTGACATATCCATAGCATTATACATAAACTATGTAAATGTCCACACACCCACACACTCACACATACACATTAAGTATTTGTCAGAACTTACCCTTGAGACTTAGATTCAAATAGGCAAATGCACCGAACATGATCCTAGCCCAAATCAGACCTAAACATAATTGAGGATGGAAAAGTACTTATAAACAAAAATCCTCAGACTAAACAGACCGAGGGAAACATGCATTCAGCACGTTCCCATAATTCAGATCCCCAAACCCAATCGTAAAACTCAAATTTCGGGACCAAAGACAAAAACAAATTCAAAAGCAAGAATCCAAAGTCCAATCGGGAAAGTTCTCAGCCTAAACAATAAAACACACTCAATTAGAATAAACACACTCAAGTAAAGCTCGAAAGCTCCAAAACCGAGGTTTGATCGTAAAAGAAGTCAGAGTTAGGAGTGAAGTTCAGTTTAAGATCTACAAGTAGTAGGTTGGTGTTCTTCAAATAAAGAATATTTGTAACCAGTTGGACATAAGAAAAATAAAGATAATTTTTTTTATTGAAAACTTATGGTGCAAACATTTAATTATATTGTAGTTTATACAATTCGTTAATATATGTGTATTATACAATCAATAAAAACGCACAATATGACTTAAATCTAAAAGTTTTATTTTAAAAAGAGAAAGAAACTACTAGAAAAGAAGCTTCATATATATATTTTTTTCAATCACACTTCACGCAAATAATAAATACGAAATTCTTGAATTTTATATGTAAGTGGAATTTCAACTTTTATTTCTATCATAGATACATAATGTATCCACAAACATACATTTTTCTCCAATAAATCTGTTTAGAATATTTTTTTGTTGTTTAAACTATTGTCTTGGCCTAATATTTCTAATGAAAATTTGCATTCTTCTTAAATGGTTTGGTCGTCCTGAAAAGGACGTTTGGGTTTATATATGAGTTTATGTACAAGCAGGTAAGATACAGGACCGCAATTAAATCTTTAAGCCTTCTTCTCGGTCTTCTTTGGCAACAGGACAGCCTGGATGTTGGGCAGAACGCCACCCTGAGCAATGGTGACACCAGAGAGCAGCTTGTTCAACTCCTCGTCATTGCGAATGGCCAACTGCAGATGACGGGGAATGATCCTAGTCTTCTTGTTGTCACGGGCAGCATTGCCAGCTAACTCGAGAACTTCAGCTGCCAGGTATTCCATAACGGCAGCCAGATAAACAGGAGCGCCGGCACCAACGCGTTCAGCATAGTTGCCTTTGCGGAGCAGACGGTGAATACGTCCAACGGGAAACTGAAGACCAGCACGATTCGATCGGGACTTTGCCTTTCCCTTCACTTTTCCACCCTTGCCACGGCCAGACATATTTTTTTACTTCACGTTTATTCACTTCACACACGAATATTGAACACAACTTCGGAACACCAATTTATACCTATGCGTTTGCCTTTGCGTTCCGTTGGGGGTAGGTCGTTTCTGATGAACATTTTGAATAGCAGACCTGAAAACCCTGCTCGAATAAAAGTACTAAAAACTGATCCAACACCAACTTTGGTATAAGTGGAAGTGAAGTGAATTTTAAAGTAATAATGCCGCCGAAAACCAGTGGAAAGGCAGCCAAGAAGGCTGGCAAAGCTCAGAAAAATATAACCAAGAACGATAAGAAGAAGAAGCGCAAGAGGAAGGAAAGCTATGCCATCTACATCTACAAGGTTCTGAAGCAGGTCCACCCTGACACTGGAATTTCGTCTAAAGCTATGAGTATAATGAACAGCTTCGTGAACGATATCTTTGAGCGTATTGCTGCTGAGGCATCGCGTCTGGCGCATTACAACAAGCGCTCGACCATCACCAGTCGGGAAATCCAAACGGCTGTTCGCCTTCTCCTGCCTGGAGAGTTGGCCAAGCACGCCGTCAGTGAAGGAACCAAGGCTGTCACCAAGTATACAAGCTCCAAGTAGATTTCTCGCTTGATGGGCAGAATGATCGAAAAAGGCCCTTTTCAGGGCCACAACATTATTTCATCAAAGACACCCATTTTTCAATAAAAGTAAATAAATTAATTGTTTGAAATCGTTTTTGTAAGAAACTGAAATTTAATTTATGTTGTTTTAGTATTAATATACTATATTATAAATAGCCAATTCATGATCGCTATTTTAAATCCAATTAGGATGGATGAAATTTATATTTATACTGTATTAGCATTTATATAATATATTATATTCTTATATTAATACAATTTTCAAAATTACGATTGCTATTTTGAATCCAATTAGGATTAAGATACTCTTCTAAAATGTCAAGCTAAGCAAAATTGATATTTTTTCTCTTTAAAAAATGTATTGTAGCCCTGAAAAGGGCTTGTTTAATGTAATTTTAGATATCGAAATCTAAAATTGCGATTGCGAAACTGTACAAATATAATGCACATTATCACAATTTATTTTTTCGCTGCCGTGGTCTTAGCTTTCGGCTTCTTTGCGGTAGTAGGAGCTGGTGCTTTCTTTACCGTCTTCTTGGGCTTAGCGGATGCAGCTGGTTTAGCCTTTGGGGCTTTAGCTGCCTTTGGTTTCGCCGATGATGGCTTCACTTTTGTTGCTACTGTTTTAGCCTTAACGGTACCAGACTTCTTAGCGTCCTTTGCCTTGGCCTTCTCGGGTTTCTTCTTTTCAGCTGTCTTCTTGGTAGCCACGGCTTTTTTAGTTTTCGGCTTCTTGTCGGCAGCTCCCGCGGCCTTCTTAGTCGTGGCTCCGGTCTTCTTGGTCGATACCTTCTTGCTTTTAGTTTTTTTCTCAACAGAAGAAGGCTTCGGCTTGGGCTCCTTTTTGGCTGAAGCCGATAATTTAAAGGAACCAGAAGCACCCTTTCCCTTCGTCTGGATCAGCTTACCATTGGCCACAGCAGACTTCAGGTACTTCTTGATGAAAGGAGCCAGTTTCTGAGCATCGCACTTGTATGTGGCAGTGATGTACTTCTTGATTGCTAGAAGCGAGGAGCCCCCACGCTCCTTCAAATTCTTAATTGAAGCGTCTACCATTTGTTGAGTTGGCGGATGCGATGGTGGTGCTGCGGTCTTCTTCGCTTTTGTGGCAGCAGATCCAGTTGCCTTTTTGGCTGCTACTTTCTTCTCAGCCGGCGCCGGTGGAGCTGCCACAGGAGACGCGGATGTAGCTACTGCTGAATCAGACATTCTTTAAATTTTTATTCACAAAAATAAACTTTTTTTATGCAAAAAATAGCCCGCGAACCCACATCCAAAGTCCCTTGTTCGGATGAGAATCGAGGAGGAGAGCAGTTTGACTATGTGTTTGGCACAGTTCATTTGTGTTACAAATGTTTTTTCAAAGGGTGTAATTATTTTTCATTATTTTGTTCTTATGATAATAAAATTAATGTTTGTTTTAATTGCGTTTGAATCTTAAATATTCAAAATTTGAGGAAAACCTTTCTCAGTTGCCGTATATAGATTCGATACTTTTTTTGGGTACCCGAAAGTGCACGTTTACGTTAATATCTTAAATATTTTGCATTAAAACGTCATTAAAAATATAAAATTGTTGTATTTTTTGTTAATTTACTACTGAAAGTCTTAAATTGAACTTTCAACTACCAGCTATGCAAAACGTAACTATATTTTTATGAAGTATTCATGCTTAAATATAGCTTTTAAAATGACCCTTTCCTGGATAAAATGTGAACTTTCATTTGACATTAAGAAACTGTTTTCGTACTAAAAAATATTATTTTTCTAAAATAATGTAAATTAAAATGTTTAATATTAGAATAAATCTTATCTATTTCCCATTCTGCATATCTTAAAAATTCTAAATTCATTTTCGTCTCAAAAATGGATTGTATATTTTCCACTGGTAGCTCGAAGGTATACGTTGAGGCTAGTAATTTATATTCTGAATGTGTTCATATTACCAATAAACTTTTCTTACTTAACTTTTAGTTACCATATTAAAACGCAAAAAATAAACTACAATTTGTTCTTGGGACTAATGAATTTTATTTGACAATATATACACAATTTACTATATTATTTAATAATATACAACTTATAAATTAGTTTCCAATAGACAATATGTATATTAAAAAAAAATGAAATGTAATTCAACTTTTTTATAACAAGACCCTTCGACCCTTTGCCGCTTTTGTAAAAATCATAATAACATTATTTATAAATTATTAATAAATGATTATTTTGATGATCCGCTGCTCACACAAGACCAGACATATTTTTGGTTCTTCATATATGTATCTTCCAAATAATGACAACAGTGTATTTCAATGTTTATTTTGTAAACAATTCCTTATTTATAAAAAAAACATGCTTTTAACTGCTTGGATTTATTTTAGTTATAATATATATCCTAGCGTTCGAAAAAAAATATTTAAACCTAACCTATTTTAACCTTTTAAACCTAAAAATAAGTTCTGTAAAATCAAAATAGTTATTCAAATCTCAGTTAAAAAAAGCTTTGTGGTCCTGAAAAGGACCGATTTTTTAGTTTAAATTTAAGGGCTGCCAATTGACAATTGTTCAATTTAAGCGCGCTCTCCACGGATACGACGGGCCAGCTGGATGTCTTTGGGCATAATAGTAACACGCTTAGCATGGATGGCGCACAAATTGGTATCTTCAAACAGACCAACCAGATAGGCTTCGCTAGCTTCCTGCAAAGCCATCACAGCAGAGCTCTGGAAGCGCAAATCTGTCTTGAAATCCTGAGCTATTTCACGCACCAACCGCTGGAATGGCAGTTTACGGATCAACAGCTCAGTACTCTTCTGGTAGCGACGGATCTCACGGAGAGCCACAGTTCCGGGGCGATAGCGATGGGGCTTCTTTACTCCTCCGGTGGCTGGCGCACTTTTACGTGCGGCCTTTGTAGCCAGTTGTTTGCGTGGGGCCTTGCCACCAGTCGATTTACGAGCAGTCTGCTTTGTACGAGCCATTTCAATTTCCAAATTCACTGTTCTCTTCGCGCCTCTAATAACACAATAAACGTGCTGCCCGTTTCGCTACCTCTTTATATACCAGAAACGCCGAGGGTTGAAAAGAGGGAGATAGAACGACATGCCATTTCGTCTATTGGGTTTACGAAGAGCGGGAAAAGCATATCGCTCCGAACTCTTCGAATTCTCGTTGAATCGGTATAAAGAGCGGTGGCTCCTTCTGCGTTAAGTTAGTTCTTCAGTGACTATCGTGCAGTGTCGTTAGAGCTGGAAAACAATCGATGGTGGGCACTATCGATTTTTTCGATTGTTTTTCTATGAAACCATCGATACTATCGATTGTTCTATACAACTTTTTTGAATAAGCAGTATACCTATTTAATATGCCAATAAGTTCGCTCGTACTTTTCTTTAATAATATATTTGCTTAATTTTTATTTATGAAAACTAAAAATTAGAAAACATATTCATATATGAAAACTTTAAATTAGAAAACATATTCATTTATGAAAACTTAAAATTAGAAAACTTATTTATCTATGAAAACTTAAAATTGGATAACATATTCATTTATGAAAACTTAAAATTAGAAAAAAAAACTTAATTAGAGATCATTTTACATTTGATTTTTGTTTAAAAATATTAACATATCCACTATATTCGACTTCAACGAGGATCGACGATCCGATATTATTTGGCCGGCTTTACTAATAGAACGCTCGGACTCTGCCGAGGAAGCTGGCACGCATAAAAATTTTTTGGCAATGCTTTGTATTGCTTTCATATCTGTCTTTTCCTAAAAAATAAGAGAATTGGTTATTTTAAATTACTATTGAATAATATATTATATATTTTACCTTTCAAAACAAGATAGGATCAATTTCCTCAGGCTCATTTGGATTTTTCAGGTACTGCCTTAGAAGAATAATGCTATCTGCTTTAAATGAGTTTGTTTGTTGAGACACTTTATTTTCTAGATATGTAAACATTTTCGTTTTTGATTCCAGTGGTGTTGAAGGTGGTGTTGGAATTTGCTGTGAAGTGTTTGAAATTAAATTTGCGAATATTTCTTTTTCTACAGCTATTGCTGCTTGTTTAGCATTAAAAGGAGGCAAAAATCCGTTCCTTTTGAACCTCGGGTCAATGAGAGTGGCAATGCGTGCAGTAGTTCTCGTTTCGTAAGAAGAGAATCTTTCAGGCAACCGTGTTTGTAAAAGAAGAAGAAGGTCAGAAGCTGTTTTCGAGTTTAGTTTTGATGATAAAACGTTAAGTTTCTGATGAAGTTCGCAAATGACGGGTATGATTAAGGGGAGGGTAAGGTATTAAATTTTTTTTTTTAAATTTTTTTTTTATTTTTTAAATTGAATGCATAATATTTGAGAAATATTGTGTCAAAATTTCAAGGCAATTAAAGCAAAATTGACAAAGTTATTAGTTATTGACGAAGTTGCTCATAAACGTTTTACACTGGATTTTTGTGTGTTTAAAACTTTAAAGCGTTTTTCCCACAACTCACGTTTTCAAAGTCGGTGCCCCTCATAACTTCAAAACTACTGCACCGATCCTTTTGAAATTTTAAACACTATTTCTGTACATATTTTACGAGGTAACGCTGTCGAGTTTTTTGAACTCAAAAATTGAGTTTTTCACTTCAAAGTCTTCGAAAAAATTAAAAAATGCAATTTTCAAAAAACCTTCACAGCGTTACCTGGGGCGAACTATTATCTAACGAATGAACTTTCATTTTTTGATTACAAATGATCCAGCACCGAGTTATGAGGGGCACCGCAATTCAACTTTTTTTGGCGACACGTCCGGACAATTGCTACCATTGCCATATTTTTATACCCTTGCAGAGGGTATTATAATTTTGTCCAAAAGTGTGCAACGCAGTGAAGGAGACATCTCCGACCCTATAAAGTATATATATTCTTGATCAGGATCACCTCCTGAGTTGATATGAGCATGTCCGTCTGTCCGTCTGTCTGTCTGTCTGTCTGTCCGTTTCTACGCGAACTAGTCTCTCAGTTTTAAAGGTTTCGTCTTAAAACTTTGCACACACCCTTCTTTCCTTTGCACGCAGTATATAAGTCGGAACGACCGGGATCGGTCGACTATATCCTATAGCTGCCATATAACTGATTAATCGGAAATGGTATAACTTTGGTGTTTTTAGAGTTAGAAAGTTCTAATTTAACATGAGAGCTATTTTCGGCAAAACAATACGAAGTGCCAAATTTCATAAGGATCGGCCGACTATATCCTATAGCTGTCATATAACTGAACGATCGGAAATGACCCAACTTTCGTGTTTTTAAAGATAGAATGCTGGAATTTAATACAGATTCTATTTTTGGTCAGTTCATCCAACCTACCAAAGTTCATAAGGATCGGCCAATTAAATCCGATGTTTGCGATATATATCCGGTTTTAACTGCAAGGGTATATCAACTTCGGCTCCGCCCGAAGTTAGCTTTCCTTGTTAAATATTTTTTTGTAAAAATTTTATTAAACATTCTTCTAATGTCATACTTTAATATACCGTTGGTTGAATAAATAAATTTTAACTGTGTCGTCAGGAAAAAAATCACAAAAACATGGCTTTTTTCGCATGATTTGACCTTACCCTCCCCTTAATGAAATAGTTGTACTCTTGCTAGCAGATACTTGTTTTGTCGCCTCATAAAAAGGTGTTAAGATGCTGCAAACTTCCTCCAAAACTTGAATTTCGTCAGCTAACAATGGGCTCGGCGCTTTATGCAACAACAAAAGAACTGACGAAATAGCATCTTTTATTAAAATTGTGCGTTGAATCATTAGATAAGCGCTATTCCAGCGAGTCGGCACTTCTTGTATCACACCGTATGGTGCACTGCATTTCTGCGCTTCTTTTAGCTTCTCATAAGCCATTGAGCTGCTTTTAAAAAATGAGACAATTCTTTTACATTTGTTCAGCAACGGCAATAGAGATTCCGATTTTAGAAGCTCTTGAACCAACAAATTGATTGTGTGCGCAACACAAGGCATATGTTTAATTGCCATTAGATCACAAGCTTTTTTCATAGTTGCGTCGTTGTCTGTCACGATTGTGACAACTTTTTGAAAAATGTTCCAACTTTTTAAGACGCTAGTAAGTGTATCTGCGATGTTGGGCGCAGTGTGGTTGGTTGCCGTTAACAATTTTTCAGTGGATAAAACAACACATTTCAGCTCAAAGCTGTTGTTTATGTAGTGACAGGTAACGGTCAAATACCCTTCATTGGCCCCGGACGTCCAGCAATCTGTGGTTATGGCTAAGTTTTCAACATAGCTCAATTCCGTTTGTCATTTCAGCTTTAGTTTGGCGTATTCAGATGGAAGAACTACATTCCTCAAGTGCGTCTTGCTGGGTAACTTATACCATGGATCAAGTTTATTAATTAGCCTTCGAAACCCCACATCATTAACCACGGCTGAACATCTTGAGCAATCATAAACATTACATCTTTGTCTAATTCAGCTTTTCTTGCCGAATCATTTGGGTAGAACTGATCCTTTACCAAAAAATATTTCCAAAACATTGGGCAACGGAGTCTTTTCTGTGCTTAGATAGTCTGGATGTGCCCGTTTCAGATGATCGAGCAGGGTAGATGTGTTCCCACACGTTTTATATATCTTACAGCACCGCTTGCAAGTTGCACTCTGATTTCCAGTTTTTTGAAAATGCTGCCACACGAGTGAATTTTCTCGCTTTCGCTTGAGTTCCATGTTGATCCACCTACAATAAACACAAATAAATAAATATACGTAAATCGTGTCAATTATACGAAAAAAAAAACCAGTGTAATGCATATTAAAAATGCGTACATGTATGCGGGCACATGAACGCAACATTTTGTAGACATGAATTAATCATTAAATACTTACTTTTCAATTAATTTCCACAGCTAGCTCCAACACCACCTTTACCGCGACTGCGCTTATAACACTTATCCTGATAAAATCGAAGAAATTGTATATAATTTTAATAATTAAGAATACATACTTTAGCCACTTACCTTCTTCTTTTGAGACAATATACATAGAAATGCAAGAAAATTGCGGAAAACAATCGATAGTGCCAAAAAAAATCGATGGTTCACAAAATACCAAAACCATCGATAGTATCGATAGTGGCATCGATTGTTTTCCAGCTCTAAGTGTCGTATCGTTAATAAACAAAACTGAAAAATGACTGGACGCGGTAAAGGTGGCAAAGGTCTGGGAAAAGGTGGCGCTAAGCGTCATCGCAAAGTCTTGCGTGATAACATCCAGGGTATTACGAAGCCAGCTATCCGTCGTTTGGCTCGTCGTGGCGGTGTGAAGCGCATCTCTGGTCTTATCTACGAGGAAACTCGTGGAGTTCTAAAAGTGTTTTTGGAGAACGTAATTCGCGATGCTGTCACCTACACCGAACACGCCAAAAGGAAGACCGTGACGGCCATGGATGTTGTTTATGCCCTGAAGAGACAAGGACGCACTCTATACGGCTTTGGCGGTTAAAATTATTTTTGTACAGCCTGTACTTAACTATGTATACAATCGGTCCTTTTCAGGACCACAATTTGTTTTAACAGAAAAAGAGAAATAAATTTTAAATAATACCTACATATCTTAGCCTATTAGACAATAAATATATCTAATTATTCAGCACGCTTAAGGCATGCGGCACCCACCAGTGGACTGAAGTCTACACTTATAGTAAAATATATATTGTAGTTTATACAATTCGTTAATATATGTGTATTATACAATCAATAAAAACACACAATATGACTTAAATCTAAAAGTTTTATTTTAAAAAGAGAAAGAAACTACTAGAAAAGAAGCTTCATATATATATTTTTTTCAATCACACTTCACGCAAATAATAAATACGAAATTCTTGAATTTTATATGTAAGTGGAATTTCAACTTTTATTTCTATCATAGATACATAATGTATCCACAAACATACATTTTTCTCCAATAAATCTGTTTAGAATATTTTTTTGTTGTTTAAACTATTGTCTTGGCCTAATATTTCTAATGAAAATTTGCATTCTTCTTAAATGGTTTGGTCGTCCTGAAAAGGACGTTTGGGTTTATATATGAGTTTATGTACAAGCAGGTAAGATACAGGACCGCAATTAAATCTTTAAGCCTTCTTCTCGGTCTTCTTTGGCAACAGGACAGCCTGGATGTTGGGCAGAACGCCACCCTGAGCAATGGTGACACCAGAGAGCAGCTTGTTCAACTCCTCGTCATTGCGAATGGCCAACTGCAGATGACGGGGAATGATCCTAGTCTTCTTGTTGTCACGGGCAGCATTGCCAGCTAACTCGAGAACTTCAGCTGCCAGGTATTCCATAACGGCAGCCAGATAAACAGGAGCGCCGGCACCAACGCGTTCAGCATAGTTGCCTTTGCGGAGCAGACGGTGAATACGTCCAACGGGAAACTGAAGACCAGCACGATTCGATCGGGACTTTGCCTTTCCCTTCACTTTTCCACCCTTGCCACGGCCAGACATATTTTTTTACTTCACGTTTATTCACTTCACACACGAATATTGAACACAACTTCGGAACACCAATTTATACCTATGCGTTTGCCTTTGCGTTCCGTTGGGGGTAGGTCGTTTCTGATGAACATTTTGAATAGCAGACCTGAAAACCCTGCTCGAATAAAAGTACTAAAAACTGATCCAACACCAACTTTGGTATAAGTGGAAGTGAAGTGAATTTTAAAGTAATAATGCCGCCGAAAACCAGTGGAAAGGCAGCCAAGAAGGCTGGCAAAGCTCAGAAAAATATAACCAAGAACGATAAGAAGAAGAAGCGCAAGAGGAAGGAAAGCTATGCCATCTACATCTACAAGGTTCTGAAGCAGGTCCACCCTGACACTGGAATTTCGTCTAAAGCTATGAGTATAATGAACAGCTTCGTGAACGATATCTTTGAGCGTATTGCTGCTGAGGCATCGCGTCTGGCGCATTACAACAAGCGCTCGACCATCACCAGTCGGGAAATCCAAACGGCTGTTCGCCTTCTCCTGCCTGGAGAGTTGGCCAAGCACGCCGTCAGTGAAGGAACCAAGGCTGTCACCAAGTATACAAGCTCCAAGTAGATTTCTCGCTTGATGGGCAGAATGATCGAAAAAGGCCCTTTTCAGGGCCACAACATTATTTCATCAAAGACACCCATTTTTCAATAAAAGTAAATAAATTAATTGTTTGAAATCGTTTTTGTAAGAAACTGAAATTTAATTTATGTTGTTTTAGTATTAATATACTATATTATAAATAGCCAATTCATGATCGCTATTTTAAATCCAATTAGGATGGATGAAATTTATATTTATACTGTATTAGCATTTATATAATATATTATATTCTTATATTAATACAATTTTCAAAATTACGATTGCTATTTTGAATCCAATTAGGATTAAGATACTCTTCTAAAATGTCAAGCTAAGCAAAATTGATATTTTTTCTCTTTAAAAAATGTATTGTAGCCCTGAAAAGGGCTTGTTTAATGTAATTTTAGATATCGAAATCTAAAATTGCGATTGCGAAACTGTACAAATATAATGCACATTATCACAATTTATTTTTTCGCTGCCGTGGTCTTAGCTTTCGGCTTCTTTGCGGTAGTAGGAGCTGGTGCTTTCTTTACCGTCTTCTTGGGCTTAGCGGATGCAGCTGGTTTAGCCTTTGGGGCTTTAGCTGCCTTTGGTTTCGCCGATGATGGCTTCACTTTTGTTGCTACTGTTTTAGCCTTAACGGTACCAGACTTCTTAGCGTCCTTTGCCTTGGCCTTCTCGGTTTTCTTCTTTTCAGCTGTCTTCTTGGTAGCCACGGCTTTTTTAGTTTTCGGCTTCTTGTCGGCAGCTCCCGCGGCCTTCTTAGTGGTGGCTCCGGTCTTCTTGGTCGATACCTTCTTGCTTTTAGTTTTTTTCTCAACAGAAGAAGGCTTCGGCTTGGGCTCCTTTTTGGCTGAAGCCGATAATTTAAAGGAACCAGAAGCACCCTTTCCCTTCGTCTGGATCAGCTTACCATTGGCCACAGCAGACTTCAGGTACTTCTTGATGAAAGGAGCCAGTTTCTGAGCATCGCACTTGTATGTGGCAGTGATGTACTTCTTGATTGCTAGAAGCGAGGAGCCCCCACGCTCCTTCAAATTCTTAATTGAAGCGTCTACCATTTGTTGAGTTGGCGGATGCGATGGTGGTGCTGCGGTCTTCTTCGCTTTTGTGGCAGCAGATCCAGTTGCCTTTTTGGCTGCTACTTTCTTCTCAGCCGGCGCCGGTGGAGCTGCCACAGGAGACGCAGATGTAGCTACTGCTGAATCAGACATTCTTTAAATCTTTATTCACAAAAATAAACTTTTTTTATGCAAAAAATAGCCCGCGAACCCACATCCAAAGTCCCTTGTTCGGATGAGAATCGAGGAGGAGAGCAGTTTGACTATGTGTTTGGCACAGTTCATTTGTGTTACAAATGTTTTTTCAAAGGGTGTAATTATTTTTCATTATTTTGTTCTTATGATAATAAAATTAATGTTTTTTTAATTGCGTTTGAATCTTAAATATTCAAAATTTGAGGAAAACCTTTCTCAGTTGCCGTATATAGATTCGATACTTTTTTTGGGTACCCGAAAGTGCACGTTTACGTTAATATCTTAAATATTTTGCATTAAAACGTCATTAAAAATATAAAATTGTTGTATTTTTTGTTAATTTACTACTGAAAGTCTTAAATTGAACTTTCAACTACCAGCTATGCAAAACGTAACTATATTTTTATGAAGTATTCATGCTTAAATATAGCTTTTAAAATGACCCTTTCCTGGATAAAATGTGAACTTTCATTTGACATTAAGAAACTGTTTTCGTACTAAAAAATATTATTTTTCTAAAATAATGTAAATTAAAATGTTTAATATTAGAATAAATCTTATCTATTTCCCATTCTGCATATCTTAAAAATTCTAAATTCATTTTCGTCTCAAAAATGGATTGTATATTTTCCACTGGTAGCTCGAAGGTATACGTTGAGGCTAGTAATTTATATTCTGAATGTGTTCATATTACCAATAAACTTTTCTTACTTAACTTTTAGTTACCATATTAAAACGCAAAAAATAAACTACAATTTGTTCTTGGGACTAATGAATTTTATTTGACAATATATACACAATTTACTATATTATTTAATAATATACAACTTATAAATTAGTTTCCAATAGACAATATGTATATTAAAAAAAAATGAAATGTAATTCAACTTTTTATAACAAGACCCTTCGACCCTTTGCCGCTTTTGTAAAAATCATAATAACATTATTTATAAATTATTAATAAATGATTATTTTGATGATCCGCTGCTCACACAAGACCAGACATATTTTTGGTTCTTCATATATGTATCTTCCAAATAATGACAACAGTGTATTTCAATGTTTATTTTGTAAACAATTCCTTATTTATAAAAAAAACATGCTTTTAAATGCTTGGATTTATTTTAGTTATAATATATATCCTAGCGTTCGAAAAAAAATATTTAAACCTAACCTATTTTAACCTTTTAAACCTAAAAATAAGTTCTGTAAAATCAAAATAGTTATTCAAATCTCAGTTAAAAAAAGCTTTGTGGTCCTGAAAAGGACCGATTTTTTAGTTTAAATTTAAGGGCTGCCAATTGACAATTGTTCAATTTAAGCGCGCTCTCCACGGATACGACGGGCCAGCTGGATGTCTTTGGGCATAATAGTAACACGCTTAGCATGGATGGCGCACAAATTGGTATCTTCAAACAGACCAACCAGATAGGCTTCGCTAGCTTCCTGCAAAGCCATCACAGCAGAGCTCTGGAAGCGCAAATCTGTCTTGAAATCCTGAGCTATTTCACGCACCAACCGCTGGAATGGCAGTTTACGGATCAACAGCTCAGTACTCTTCTGGTAGCGACGGATCTCACGGAGAGCCACAGTTCCGGGGCGATAGCGATGGGGCTTCTTTACTCCTCCGGTGGCTGGCGCACTTTTACGTGCGGCCTTTGTAGCCAGTTGTTTGCGTGGGGCCTTGCCACCAGTCGATTTACGAGCAGTCTGCTTTGTACGAGCCATTTCAATTTCCAAATTCACTGTTCTCTTCGCGCCTCTAATAACACAATAAACGTGCTGCCCGTTTCGCTACCTCTTTATATACCAGAAACGCCGAGGGTTGAAAAGAGGGAGATAGAACGACATGCCATTTCGTCTATTGGGTTTACGAAGAGCGGGAAAAGCATATCGCTCCGAACTCTTCGAATTCTCGTTGAATCGGTATAAAGAGCGGTGGCTCCTTCCGCGTTAAGTTAGTTCTTCAGTGACTATCGTGCAGTGTCGTATCGTTAATAAACAAAACTGAAAAATGACTGGACGCGGTAAAGGTGGCAAAGGTCTGGGAAAAGGTGGCGCTAAGCGTCATCGCAAAGTCTTGCGTGATAACATCCAGGGTATTACGAAGCCAGCTATCCGTCGTTTGGCTCGTCGTGGCGGTGTGAAGCGCATCTCTGGTCTTATCTACGAGGAAACTCGTGGAGTTCTAAAAGTGTTTTTGGAGAACGTAATTCGCGATGCTGTCACCTACACCGAACACGCCAAAAGGAAGACCGTGACGGCCATGGATGTTGTTTATGCCCTGAAGAGACAAGGACGCACTCTATACGGCTTTGGCGGTTAAAATTATTTTTGTACAGCCTGTACTTAACTATGTATACAATCGGTCCTTTTCAGGACCACAATTTGTTTTAACAGAAAAAGAGAAATAAATTTTAAATAATACCTACATATCTTAGCCTATTAGACAATAAATATATCTAATTATTCAGCACGCTTAAGGCATGCGGCACCCACCAGTGGACTGAAGTCTACACTTATAGTAAAATATATATTGTATGTACTTTATACAATTCGTTAATATATGTGTATTATACAATCAATAAAAACGCACAATATGACTTAAATCTAAAAGTTTTATTTTAAAAAGAGAAAGAAACTACTAGAAAAGAAGCTTCATATATACATATATTTTTTTCAATCACACTTCACGCAAATAATAAATACGAAATTCTTGTATTTTATATGTAAGTGGAATTTCAACTTTTATTTCTATCATAGATACATAATGTATCCACAAACATACATTTTTCTCCAATAAATCTGTTTAGAATATTTTTTTGTTGTTTAAACTATTGTCTTGGCCTAATATTTCTAATGAAAATTTGCATTCTTCTTAAATGGTTTGGTCGTCCTGAAAAGGACGTTTGGGTTTATATATGAGTTTATGTACAAGCAGGTAAGATACAGGACCGCAATTAAATCTTTAAGCCTTCTTCTCGGTCTTCTTTGGCAACAGGACAGCCTGGATGTTGGGCAGAACGCCACCCTGAGCAATGGTGACACCAGAGAGCAGCTTGTTCAACTCCTCGTCATTGCGAATGGCCAACTGCAGATGACGGGGAATGATCCTAGTCTTCTTGTTGTCACGGGCAGCATTGCCAGCTAACTCGAGAACTTCAGCTGCCAGGTATTCCATAACGGCAGCCAGATAAACAGGAGCGCCGGCACCAACGCGTTCAGCATAGTTGCCTTTGCGGAGCAGACGGTGAATACGTCCAACGGGAAACTGAAGACCAGCACGATTCGATCGGGACTTTGCCTTTCCCTTCACTTTTCCACCCTTGCCACGGCCAGACATATTTTTTTACTTCACGTTTATTCACTTCACACACGAATATTGAACACAACTTAGGAACACCAATTTATACCTATGCGTTTGCCTTTGCGTTCCGTTGGGGGTAGGTCGTTTCTGATGAACATTTTGAATAGCAGACCTGAAAACCCTGCTCGAATAAAAGTACTAAAAACTGATCCAACACCAACTTTGGTATAAGTGGAAGTGAAGTGAATTTTAAAGTAATAATGCCGCCGAAAACCAGTGGAAAGGCAGCCAAGAAGGCTGGCAAAGCTCAGAAAAATATAACCAAGAACGATAAGAAGAAGAAGCGCAAGAGGAAGGAAAGCTATGCCATCTACATCTACAAGGTTCTGAAGCAGGTCCACCCTGACACTGGAATTTCGTCTAAAGCTATGAGTATAATGAACAGCTTCGTGAACGATATCTTTGAGCGTATTGCTGCTGAGGCATCGCGTCTGGCGCATTACAACAAGCGCTCGACCATCACCAGTCGGGAAATCCAAACGGCTGTTCGCCTTCTCCTGCCTGGAGAGTTGGCCAAGCACGCCGTCAGTGAAGGAACCAAGGCTGTCACCAAGTATACAAGCTCCAAGTAGATTTCTCGCTTGATGGGCAGAATGATCGAAAAAGGCCCTTTTCAGGGCCACAACATTATTTCATCAAAGACACCCATTTTTCAATAAAAGTAAATAAATTAATTGTTTGAAATCGTTTTTGTAAGAAACTGAAATTTAATTTATGGTGTTTTAGTATTAATATACTATATTATAAATAGCCAATTCATGATCGCTATTTTAAATCCAATTAGGATGGATGAAATTTATATTTATACTGTATTAGCATTTATATAATATATTATATTCTTATATTAATACAATTTTCAAAATTACGATTGCTATTTTGAATCCAATTAGGATTAAGATACTCTTCTAAAATGTCAAGCTAAGCAAAATTGATATTTTTTCTCTTTAAAAAATGTATTGTAGCCCTGAAAAGGGCTTGTTTAATGTAATTTTAGATATCGAAATCTAAAATTGCGATTGCGAAACTGTACAAATATAATGCACATTATCACAATTTATTTTTTCGCTGCCGTGGTCTTAGCTTTCGGCTTCTTTGCGGTAGTAGGAGCTGGTGCTTTCTTTACCGTCTTCTTGGGCTTAGCGGATGCAGCTGGTTTAGCCTTTGGGGCTTTAGCTGCCTTTGGTTTCGCCGATGATGGCTTCACTTTTGTTGCTACTGTTTTAGCCTTAACGGTACCAGACTTCTTAGCGTCCTTTGCCTTGGCCTTCTCGGTTTTCTTCTTTTCAGCTGTCTTCTTGGTAGCCACGGCTTTTTTAGTTTTCGGCTTCTTGTCGGCAGCTCCCGCGGCCTTCTTAGTGGTGGCTCCGGTCTTCTTGGTCGATACCTTCTTGCTTTTAGTTTTTTCTCAACAGAAGAAGGCTTCGGCTTGGGCTCCTTTTTGGCTGAAGCCGATAATTTAAAGGAACCAGAAGCACCCTTTCCCTTCGTCTGGATCAGCTTACCATTGGCCACAGCAGACTTCAGGTACTTCTTGATGAAAGGAGCCAGTTTCTGAGCATCGCACTTGTATGTGGCAGTGATGTACTTCTTGATTGCTAGAAGCGAGGAGCCCCCACGCTCCTTCAAATTCTTAATTGAAGCGTCTACCATTTGTTGAGTTGGCGGATGCGATGGTGGTGCTGCGGTCTTCTTCGCTTTTGTGGCAGCAGATCCAGTTGCCTTTTTGGCTGCTACTTTCTTCTCAGCCGGCGCCGGTGGAGCTGCCACAGGAGACGCAGATGTAGCTACTGCTGAATCAGACATTCTTTAAATCTTTATTCACAAAAATAAACTTTTTTTATGCAAAAAATAGCCCGCGAACCCACATCCAAAGTCCCTTGTTCGGATGAGAATCGAGGAGGAGAGCAGTTTGACTATGTGTTTGGCACAGTTCATTTGTGTTACAAATGTTTTTTCAAAGGGTGTAATTATTTTTCATTATTTTGTTCTTATGATAATAAAATTAATGTTTTTTTTAATTGCGTTTGAATCTTAAATATTCAAAATTTGAGGAAAACCTTTCTCAGTTGCCGTATATAGATTCGATACTTTTTTTTGGGTACCCGAAAGTGCACGTTTACGTTAATATCTTAAATATTTTGCATTAAAACGTCATTAAAAATATAAAATTGTTGTATTTTTTGTTAATTTACTACTGAAAGTCTTAAATTGAACTTTCAACTACCAGCTATGCAAAACGTAACTATATTTTTATGAAGTATTCATGCTTAAATATAGCTTTTAAAATGACCCTTTCCTGGATAAAATGTGAACTTTCATTTGACATTAAGAAACTGTTTTCGTACTAAAAAATATTATTTTTCTAAAATAATGTAAATTAAAATGTTTAATATTAGAATAAATCTTATCTATTTCCCATTCTGCATATCTTAAAAATTCTAAATTCATTTTCGTCTCAAAAATGGATTGTATATTTTCCACTGGTAGCTCGAAGGTATACGTTGAGGCTAGTAATTTATATTCTGAATGTGTTCATATTACCAATAAACTTTTCTTACTTAACTTTTAGTTACCATATTAAAACGCAAAAAATAAACTACAATTTGTTCTTGGGACTAATGAATTTTATTTGACAATATATACACAATTTACTATATTATTTAATAATATACAACTTATAAATTAGTTTCCAATAGACAATATGTATATTAAAAAAAAAATGAAATGTAATTCAACTTTTTTATAACAAGACCCTTCGACCCTTTGCCGCTTTTGTAAAAATCATAATAACATTATTTATAAATTATTAATAAATGATTATTTTGATGATCCGCTGCTCACACAAGACCAGACATATTTTTGGTTCTTCATATATGTATCTTCCAAATAATGACAACAGTGTATTTCAATGTTTATTTTGTAAACAATTCCTTATTTATAAAAAAAACATGCTTTTAAATGCTTGGATTTATTTTAGTTATAATATATATCCTAGCGTTCGAAAAAAATATTTAAACCTAACCTATTTTAACCTTTTAAACCTAAAAATAAGTTCTGTAAAATCAAAATAGTTATTCAAATCTCAGTTAAAAAAGCTTTGTGGTCCTGAAAAGGACCGATTTTTTAGTTTAAATTTAAGGGCTGCCAATTGACAATTGTTCAATTTAAGCGCGCTCTCCACGGATACGACGGGCCAGCTGGATGTCTTTGGGCATAATAGTAACACGCTTAGCATGGATGGCGCACAAATTGGTATCTTCAAACAGACCAACCAGATAGGCTTCGCTAGCTTCCTGCAAAGCCATCACAGCAGAGCTCTGGAAGCGCAAATCTGTCTTGAAATCCTGAGCTATTTCACGCACCAACCGCTGGAATGGCAGTTTACGGATCAACAGCTCAGTACTCTTCTGGTAGCGACGGATCTCACGGAGAGCCACAGTTCCGGGGCGATAGCGATGGGGCTTCTTTACTCCTCCGGTGGCTGGCGCACTTTTACGTGCGGCCTTTGTAGCCAGTTGTTTGCGTGGGGCCTTGCCACCAGTCGATTTACGAGCAGTCTGCTTTGTACGAGCCATTTCAATTTCCAAATTCACTGTTCTCTTCGCGCCTCTAATAACACAATAAACGTGCTGCCCGTTTCGCTACCTCTTTATATACCAGAAACGCCGAGGGTTGAAAAGAGGGAGATAGAACGACATGCCATTTCGTCTATTGGGTTTACGAAGAGCGGGAAAAGCATATCGCTCCGAACTCTTCGAATTCTCGTTGAATCGGTATAAAGAGCGGTGGCTCCTTCCGCGTTAAGTTAGTTCTTCAGTGACTATCGTGCAGTGTCGTATCGTTAATAAACAAAACTGAAAAATGACTGGACGCGGTAAAGGTGGCAAAGGTCTGGGAAAAGGTGGCGCTAAGCGTCATCGCAAAGTCTTGCGTGATAACATCCAGGGTATTACGAAGCCAGCTATCCGTCGTTTGGCTCGTCGTGGCGGTGTGAAGCGCATCTCTGGTCTTATCTACGAGGAAACTCGTGGAGTTCTAAAAGTGTTTTTGGAGAACGTAATTCGCGATGCTGTCACCTACACCGAACACGCCAAAAGGAAGACCGTGACGGCCATGGATGTTGTTTATGCCCTGAAGAGACAAGGACGCACTCTATACGGCTTTGGCGGTTAAAATTATTTTTGTACAGCCTGTACTTAACTATGTATACAATCGGTCCTTTTCAGGACCACAATTTGTTTTAACAGAAAAAGAGAAATAAATTTTAAATAATACCTACATATCTTAGCCTATTAGACAATAAATATATCTAATTATTCAGCACGCTTAAGGCATGCGGCACCCACCAGTGGACTGAAGTCTACACTTATAGTAAAATATATATTGTAGTTTATACAATTCGTTAATATATGTGTATTATACAATCAATAAAAACGCACAATATGACTTAAATCTAAAAGTTTTATTTTAAAAAGAGAAAGAAACTACTAGAAAAGAAGCTTCATATATATATTTTTTTCAATCACACTTCACGCAAATAATAAATACGAAATTCTTGAATTTTATATGTAAGTGGAATTTCAACTTTTATTTCTATCATAGATACATAATGTATCCACAAACATACATTTTTCTCCAATAAATCTGTTTAGAATATTTTTTTGTTGTTTAAACTATTGTCTTGGCCTAATATTTCTAATGAAAATTTGCATTCTTCTTAAATGGTTTGGTCGTCCTGAAAAGGACGTTTGGGTTTATATATGAGTTTATGTACAAGCAGGTAAGATACAGGACCGCAATTAAATCTTTAAGCCTTCTTCTCGGTCTTCTTTGGCAACAGGACAGCCTGGATGTTGGGCAGAACGCCACCCTGAGCAATGGTGACACCAGAGAGCAGCTTGTTCAACTCCTCGTCATTGCGAATGGCCAACTGCAGATGACGGGGAATGATCCTAGTCTTCTTGTTGTCACGGGCAGCATTGCCAGCTAACTCGAGAACTTCAGCTGCCAGGTATTCCATAACGGCAGCCAGATAAACAGGAGCGCCGGCACCAACGCGTTCAGCATAGTTGCCTTTGCGGAGCAGACGGTGAATACGTCCAACGGGAAACTGAAGACCAGCACGATTCGATCGGGACTTTGCCTTTCCCTTCACTTTTCCACCCTTGCCACGGCCAGACATATTTTTTTACTTCACGTTTATTCACTTCACACACGAATATTGAACACAACTTCGGAACACCAATTTATACCTATGCGTTTGCCTTTGCGTTCCGTTGGGGGTAGGTCGTTTCTGATGAACATTTTGAATAGCAGACCTGAAAACCCTGCTCGAATAAAAGTACTAAAAACTGATCCAACACCAACTTTGGTATAAGTGGAAGTGAAGTGAATTTTAAAGTAATAATGCCGCCGAAAACCAGTGGAAAGGCAGCCAAGAAGGCTGGCAAAGCTCAGAAAAATATAACCAAGAACGATAAGAAGAAGAAGCGCAAGAGGAAGGAAAGCTATGCCATCTACATCTACAAGGTTCTGAAGCAGGTCCACCCTGACACTGGAATTTCGTCTAAAGCTATGAGTATAATGAACAGCTTCGTGAACGATATCTTTGAGCGTATTGCTGCTGAGGCATCGCGTCTGGCGCATTACAACAAGCGCTCGACCATCACCAGTCGGGAAATCCAAACGGCTGTTCG